ATGATTAACATTTTGAAGAACTACCAAATTTTTCCACAAAGGCTGCATCATTGACATTCCCACCAGCAGTGCATGAGGGTTGCATTTTCTCTACATCCTCACCAACACTTGTCATTTTTTCTTTTTTGATAATAGCCATGCTAATGGGTGTGGTATCATTGTGATTTTGATTTACATTTCCCTTATGACTGATGATGTTGAGCATCTTTTCATGTGCTTATTGGCCATTTGTATATCTTCTCACAGTTTTGTTTTTTTTTTAAGGAGAAAAAAATAAATGTATGAGTATATGTAGGAGTATTGTTCATCATCTCCCAATTCTCCACCCCAGTGTGGAGGCAGGAAATTAACTGGAGGAAAATAGGAAAATAACATGTAGTTTCATATAGTTGTATTGTCTGTCTGTCTTTATATTTGATCCTGTTTTCTATGAGTGCATATTTATCTTTTTTTTTATACGTATGTTTTGTCTACCAATAAATAACTCCTCCTGACGCTCCTATGTTACTAGACTTGAGTGTTTGAGAGAGGCCTGAGGTTGAAAGTAAATGAGGGCTTTCCAGTTCATCCTTAGATATATTCAAAATGAAGATGCATTTACATTGAATTCACTTACACACCTTAGATATACCTCCTTCCTTTTGTTTTTCTTTTGTGTCTTAGTCTTAGGAGGCTAAAAGCCTTTTATGGCCCAGACATCTGTTGTACTTAGAAAGAATGGTGCTGTAATTCTGTGCTTCTAACAAAGTAGCCAGTTCCATTTTTTTTCTTCTGAAAACTCTCCTATTAGAAGTAGAATATCCTAGTACAAGATATATTTTGACAAAATAAACATAGTAATATACATGGGGAATTAGTATATAAAGCTTTAAAATGGCTTCTTTTGGGGAGGATATGACAATTTAGTTATGTTAACTGAAGTTTTCAGTATACCATTGATAAAATTTTAAGCGTGTTCTCGTTTTTCTTGGGTGTCTCGGGTGTTTGCCAACTAGCACTTTGGAGAGTGTGTGCTTATCTGGCATGTCCGTAACAGAAGGAACTGTGCGTTCCCTCTCTGATGTACTGAGTAGCAATTTCTCCCCTTTGGACAGTTCAGAACAGTGAGTTTTATCATAGATTAATATCCATAGCTACATAGTGGTTTTAAATCCAGAATAAACTAGGGTAGAGGAAAGAAGAAAAGGCTCTTTTATGAAAAAAGTGAAACTTTCTCAGTATGTCTTATAGGTTGTTAGGAGCTGTTCTTATTGCCTTTTTTCATGTAACACTAGATCAAAGAAAAAGCGTTTTTTTTTTAAAAAGGATTTTTTTTTATTTGTTTTGTTTGCTTATAAAAATCTGTACCTCAAATGGCATTACTGGAATTGAGGAAAAATACTCTACAGTTCAGTTTATTTCTTTATTCTTCCAGATTTATCTGCCTTTAAAGTTTAAAAAAGTCTGTTTTATTGTTGTTTTCATCTTTGCATTTTAATTATTCATGCTACCTGTTTTCATATTAACTCCATACTAAGAACTGTTCTCTGAGATTCCAAAGGTCATTTGCATCCCTTAAAGCATTAGAACCAAAAATGAAGGGCAAATTCTTTTAACGAATGGGACTTATAAAGGTAGCACATCATCATATAAGTTTCCTATTTATTTGCATTTTAGAAAGCCCTGGTTTCCAAAGGTCAGGAATAGAATTAAAAATAAAATATTTTTTGATTGACAGTATTTTCATTAAAAATGTCAGCTCATCTCTAAATGATGAGCATTCAAAAGTAAGGCATTGTCTTTGGATGTATTGTAGTCATGCTTTCGCAATCTTTGTTTTTAGTTTTTTGCCATATTTGTGCTTGCACATGCTTTCTCTTAAATGATTGGAAAGTAGGTGGCAGACATCCTGACATCTAACCCCTAAATACTTCAGCATGTCTCCTAAGAATGAAGATATCATTCTGTGTAAAACTACAATACTATATTACACTCCAGAAAGCTTATATTATACAGTAATAATAATCTAATATATAGTCTTTTTCCAAATTTTTCTAATCCTCCCAAAAATGTACTTTTATAACCTTTTGTTCCTCTAATCCAGGATCCAGGCAAGGACCACACATTGGATTTGGTTGTTGTGTCTAGTCTCCTTTAAACTAGAACAGGCGTGCCCCCGTCTTTTCTTTCTTCCTTTTTTTTTTCTTTCTTTCTTTTTTTTTTTTTTTTTTTGTCTTTTATAACATTAACATGAGGAATCTAAGCCAGTTGTTTTGTAGAATGTTCCACAACCTAATTTTGTCTTTTATCGTCATTAGTTTCAGGTTAAACATTTTTGGTAGGACTACCATGTGTATGCTTTTTCATTACATCACATCAGGAGGCACAATGTTATCAGTTTGTGTTGTTCTTGGTGATACAGAGTTTGGTCATGATGCAGGTCATTTGTGTTAAGGGGATATCTGTCAGACCACTTCATTGGAAAGCTCTTTTACCTTTTTCAATAATAAGTAATTTATAGGTTCATGCTTTGAGACCATTTGGCTGTCCTGTTCCCTAATAACCTTTCACCTGGTGGTATTCATTTGCTTATTGATTTAATTCAGGTTTGCCCAGGGTTCCATTGATGGATGTCAGTGTATCTGTGAAGCCTTGGGGACATTTTGTGTGCGTGTATTCTTCCAAGGATATAGTCCATGACCGCCAAAATATTTAAAAGCTCCCCCTCCGCCATTTTTGACATGTCTTCTACAAGTTTCTGTGCATCAGAGAAATCTGTTATAAGTGGTAGGTTTCCAGAAGCTAGAAATCAACCCTGTTCATCTAATTTTCCTAATAATCTAGCCCAGCATCACATACAACTACATACTTAATTTTCGTCGTTGTTATTTGTTTGAGAACACTTTGTTCTGGGCTTTCCCTTATTTTGAGCCAAACATTTGGATCTTTTGTGTTTGGCATAAACTGTAAGAACAAAGCCCCTGAAGATTTGGGGGCACAGTAAAATTTGACTTGTGTCTTTGTTGACACTGAAGTAAACTTAAGTCAATTGGAAATGAACTAAAGCATTGCTATACATGTTTTAGTTGTCTAATTATCAGTTGTATCAATAAGACATTTTTCCCAAGTGTAAAAGTAGCTCTTTTTGATTGTGTAGACAAGAGGGTTTCGCAGGAGACTTTAGGGAGCCTAATGTCCATTATTAGCATACTGTGGAATAGCTATAGAAGTGATTCTTGACTTTCCTTGCTTAACCAGGAGAGCAGTATGAAATTAATTATGGCAGTAAGCCATGTATTTTGTTTCATCTCTTGATTAGCCTTTGTAACATTGGTTTGCCTTGTATGAAAAAAGTCTCTGCCATTTGGGTGGCTAATAATAAGAACTAATATTGATTGCTTCTCAGCCTTTTGGCCAAGATCAAGTGTAATAAAAGCTAACATTGGAATAGTATACTTTTAAAATAGACGTACTGTGTAATACATTTAATATAGTGAATATGCTGAGAACGTGAACACAACTCACTCTAGAGTCCTATTTTAGAATCTGTTAGCAACGGGCCAAGGAGGAGGTTCTACACTAGTCACTGACCACTGAAGTGAGAATACACCATACAACAGCAGAAAGATGAGGATGCTGACATCTATTAAAAACGAAACACAAGTCACCTGGGACTGATGTGCCCAGCTGGTCTTTTCCTGAGATTTAAAAAAAGAAAAAGAAAAAAAGGTTCCTGAGGCCACATGCCTAACACAATTTTCTGTCAGCTTCACATCTAGGGATCAGGTTAGCCCCAACCCTAGAACACATGTTCTAGATCACTTTGTGAAAGTAGATATTGCTGTTAGTCTAATTATGCAGGTAGAGAAAAAAAGCTTATAAGAAGTTAAAATAGCCAACATCAAATAGCTAGTTAAGGAGCTCCAAATTCTTTGCTCATTCTGTCTTACCAATCTAAATGGTAGAGGCGTTCTACAGAATATGAACAAAGCACGGCCCTTGCTCTCAAGGATCTTTTAAATCCAACAAGTCATTTTTCTTAGGAATACATTACAACAAATCAAGAGAAGAGCTAAGGAAGTATGGAAAAGGGCAGACGAGCTCCAAGTATAAGGTTAAGGTTGGTAGGCTAGAGATAGTTTTTGAAGGGGGAGAATGGGGAAGAAAAAGAGTCACCAAAAGCAGTGGAGATGGGAAGGCACAGGGCTCGTTATGGATGAGGAATTGGTCTGGTTTGGCTAGAGCATGAGCTGCATGAAAAAACATAAAAGAAAGTAGTAAAGTTAGACCTGGAAGATAGGTTAGGATAGATTGTGAAGAGCTGTGAAGATCATGCTAGGGAAGAATCTCATTCCATAGGTATTTTTGAGCAGGAAATGAAAAATGTAGAAGACCCAAAAATAATTGTAATAAATGCTTACATTTTTAACTATGACTCTGTTGATCTCTTAACATGTTATCTTATTAATGCCTCACAGTAACTCTATGAACAGTGTACTATGTCCATTTTATAGATGTGAAACAGGCTCCATGAGATTAAGTAAATTTGCAAATGTCAAACAGCTGTTGCTGGAGCTAGGACTCAGACTGGGGGCTGTCAGGTTCCCAAACCTGTTCTGTTTACCACGATGATATGTTGTCATTTCTTTGATCAGATTACCCGGTAAGTTCTTAATTTTCTGTCAAGAATATGGCTCTACGAAAGGACGTTTTCAAAGTTCTGAAAGGACTACTCTTCAATGTGTAATTATGTTAAGGAATATAATCACTACCTAACCTGACTTGTACTGCTGTCTAATTTGGGACCAGAGCTGGATGGGAAATTGAAGAGTTGGATGATATTTATTTACTTGCGTCATGACATCAGCACATGCTCATTGCAAATGTTTTTGTTTTCATTTTTACTGTTTAACCTTATTGCCCCTGAGTATATCTTAGGTGAAGTAAAGCTCAGTTTCCGAGGGCATTTTAAGACACATAAAGAAGTGATGTTTTTCCTAAAACATATTTCTTCTCAGCAGGTTTTCTACTTATGAAAGATAATGACTACTGATGAAGGTGCCAAGAACAATGGAGGAAGCCCGGCAGCAGCTGTTGCTGAGCAGGGAGAGGATATTACCTCTAAGAAAGATAGAGGAGTATTAAAGGTGAGGCCACAGGGATGAATGGAGAAATTTGCTATCCAAAAAGATTGTAAAAGTTGGGGGTTGGGGGAGCGGCTGGAGGTGGATAATCTTTATTAAAGCTTACTAAGTGCCAAAAACTACAGCTAAATTCTCATTTCATCTTGTAACATGAGGGATTTTTTTAATCCCAGAACATAGATGGCAAAACGGAGGCCCAGCTATGTAAATTAACTTGCTAATAGTAAAACATGTATCATATCTAAATAAATATGACAGACCCCAGCCCTGGGGTTCAGATCCAAGTTATGTCTGACTCCAAAAGGCTGTCTTACTCTCAGAGTGTACAAATGGGTTGTTATTTTAATATAATATTTAAGTATATTAAAGCTAGCCAAAAGTCTTTTTTTTTTTTTTTAAGGAAAAAGAAACGCTAACTTGCAAAGTTCAAAAGGATTTGTTTTTATATACAAATAGCGTACCTGTGCTGTGAAGATACTTTTTGAGGTTTCATCAGACAGTATGTCTCACTTTTGAATTAGCTTTCTTCCTTTTAAAACACTTTATATTTTCTTCACTTTATAGTTAATCATTTTTATGTGTTTTTTAATTTGTATCTCACAAGTCTTGTGAGATGATCACCTCTTGATTCTTCTATTTATATATGGAAAATATGTATTTATATGCCACATAAGTGAATCGACTAAAGCTGAAAGAGGTTAAAATGGCTTTAGTCATATTAAGTTATTTCTTGTTATACATAAAAATTTTGCATAATTGAGTTAATTTTTTTTTTTTTTTTTCTGAAAACATTGTCTTACACATTCTAAATATTAACGCTAAGCTGATTTTAAGTACTTGTGTCACCGTAGCAAATGAGAACTTTTTGGTTTGTTTTGTCTGATGTTGCTTACATGACAACTTTTTTTCTGTGCCTGAATCTTTTTTGAATATACATGTTTTACTATTAGCTTGCTGTGTGCCAAGCCAAATTTTGGAGACTTGGAACTATAGAATAAGGGTTTTATACTATTGATTTATATCTTGATATCTTTTTTCAGAAGCCTTTCTACCTTGTAGATATACGAATTACTCATCCCAGATTTCAGGATGCTCTTAGAGACAGTGGAAATTCTGCAGCGTGTCCTCAGCATTTCCCTCCTCTTTCATCTTTTCAGAGCACACATACAGAGAACACAGTCCCCAACTTGCCTCAGGCCCTGTTTTGTTCTAGGGAATAAACTAATAAGATTTTTAGCCTTGTAAGAAACAGTTTGAGATTGTAAGCCCTTTAAATCATATTATTTATCACTGTCTAGAGCCTCAGGTTTCACTATGGGGCTTCTGGTTAAGATTAAATATATCTACTAACTATATGACCCCGGGCAATTTCGTTAACCTGTCTGCATGAAGTTTCCTCATTTGTAAAACTAGAATAATACTGCCTACCTCATAGAGTTATCAGGATTACATAAAGCATTTAGCACAGTGCCTTGCCTATGGTATAATCTCTTATTAATGATTATATATTAAAAAAAAAAAAAAGACCAATACCTACCTAGCCCAGGAAGATAAAATTACATTGTGGGCTCACATTTTTTAAATGAATGGAGACTAAATGGTATCCTTAAGGCAACTCCAGATTTAGGCACAAGTTGATCTTGCTGGGGAAACCTTAAGTGATACCACAGGAGCACTTGCTAGTGTGGACAGCTTTCTGACTTCCTGGTAACCATTCATCCACATGCCCAGTTACTTGTTCATAGTTCTAAAAATGTATATTCCTTCCAGGTGAGACTCAGGCTCCCAAATGCTACATGCAGTTTACGAATATGAGCACTTTCAGAATATCATGGGATTTCTTTTAGATTAGTTTTTCGAAACTTTTTTCCCTTTGAAGTCCTCGAAGGGCGGTAATGGTTTTTTAAGTAGCTCTTAATTTTTAAAATTATAATTATTTTCCTAGCTTTATTAATATAATTAACCTGTAATGTTATGTACAATGTGATGATTTGATACATTTATATGTTTCAAAATGATTACCACAGGGTTAGTTAACACCTCTATCACCTCACATAATTACCATTTCTTTTTTTGTGGTGAGAACACATAAGATCTCTTCTCTTAGCAACTTTCAAGTGTATAATATGGTGTCGTTATAGTCACCATGCTATACATTAGCTCCCCAGAATAATTAATCTTACATTTCAAAGTTTATACTCTTTGACTGACATCTCCCCATTTCCCCACCCGTTAGCCTCTGGCAGCTACCATTCCCTTCTCCATTTCTGTGAATTCAGCTCTTTTAGCTTCCACGTATAAGTGATATGCCGTATTTTTCTTTCTTTGTCTGGCTTATTTCACTTAGCACAATGCTCTCAAAGTCCATCCTTACTGTCACCAGTGGCATGATTTCCTTCTTTCTCATGGCTGAATAATCTCCCTCCCTCCATATATATCATATTTTTTTCATTTATCCATTAACAGACACTTAAGTTGTTTCCATATCTTGGCTATTATAAATAATGCTGTAATGAACATGGGAGTATCTCTCTCTCTCTCTCTCTCTATATATATATATATATATATATATCTCACATCTTTATCTATTCAGCCATCAATGGACACTTAGTTTGCTTCCAAGGCTTGGCTGTTTTGAACAATGCTACAGTGAACATGGGAGTGCAGCTCCCTCTCCAAGATAGTGATTTTGTTTTCTTTGGATTTATATCCAGAAATGAGATTGCTGGATCATATGGTAGTTCTAGTTTTAAATTTTTGAGAAACCATACTCTTTTCTGTGGTGGCTGTACTAATTTACAGTCCCACCAATGATACACAAGGGTTCCCTTTTATCTACATACTCACCAACAGTTGTTATCTCGTCTTTTTGATAGTAGCCATTCTAACAGGGATAAGGTGACATCTCATTGTGGTTCTAATCTGCATTTCTAGAATTGTTTCTTTTTCAGATATTTCATTATTAGTATGTAGAGACAACTGATTTTTAAATGTTGATTCTGTATTCTCCAGCTTTACTGAATTCATCGATTAGTTCTAACAGTTTTTTGATGGAGTTCTAGTTATGATTCTTTTTGCCCAAGCTTTTGAACTAAGAAAGTTGTAGATTTGAGTTCAGAGTGTTGATGTGATGATATGAGGGTGAGGCAAGAGGGACACATCTCAAAGAATTTAGGAGCAAATAATTTAATTCTTTAGATAAAAATTCAGACCCTACCCCCAAAAAGATGTTCACTGGACATTAGCTACCACCCTCTGTTATCTAATAAAGATGATTAATTTGGCATAGGTAGTTGACAGAATAAATTTCACCATCACATGCCCGGATTTGATTTTCTTTTCCCAGAACTAACCAACTGCATTAGTGGCTTTCTCGGCCAAGCAAGAACAAAATAAATATACTTGATTTTACAATAGCTAAATATTTTTCAGCTTGGAGGGATTTGTTTGTTGTTATTTTTGTTTTTGCATTTCCTTTACTAGAAAACATTCAGTATCATATAAAACTGTGCAGTGATACTGTTTTTTTATACATTGAATATTCTTCAGATAGTAGGAAGTTTAACCTATTATACCAGGAAATTGGGCTTTTTGAAATTAAATCAAGCTAGTGGAATCTAGTCAAAGCTAATGTTTTTAGCAAAGGAGAGAAGTAAATAAAACGTCACCTTTGAAACTTTGCTTTGGACTTTTTTGAATGTTTTTGAAAGTCTACTAATCTTTTTGGTCTAATTCAGTTTGTATATGGACTAGCTCTGTTTTGGGAGAGGGGCAGGAGCATTAAACCAAAGAAGTAGGGTATGTTGGTTCATTATTTTGAGAGAATAGTGTGATTAACAATAAAATTGAATATAGCATTAAAGATTTAGAGTAGAACGGGGCAATTCTCTAACACTGGGGGTTATTAAGAGAACTAGGAAGGGAGCCTTTAGAAAAGACAAAATTATTTGTAAATCTGCCTGAGTAATATGAAATGGACTATGTGATTTCTCGGTTCTCTGATTAGAAGTTAAAAGTTCCACCTCTTTTTTCTTGATATTTGTCTTTTCTAGATTGTTAAAAGAGTGGGGAATAGTGAGGAAACACCAATGATTGGAGACAAAGTTTATGTCCATTACAATGGAAAATTGGCAAATGGAAAGAAGTTTGATTCCAGTCATGATCGAAATGAACCATTTGTCTTTAATCTTGGCAAAGGTAAGAGAGTAGTTTTTGAGTTGTGTTTTGCATAAATTTATTACTATTTATATTACATAGGAGCTAGTGGATCCTATACTTGCCAAAAGTACAGATATTTTAGAGTAGTAGTTCTCAAATTATGGTCCATGGATCCCTGGGGGTCCCTGAGATCCTTTTAGGGGCTCCATAATGTCAAAATTATTTTAATACTAAGATATTATTTATAGTTTTACTATGTTAACATTTGCACTGATGGTACAAAACCTGCAGTGATCAAAACCATTGGTGTTGTCTACAGCCATGCTACCCTGAACAAGCCTGATCCCATCTGATCTCAGAAGCTAAGCAGGGTTGGGCCTGCTTAGTACTTGGATGGGAGACCACCTAGGAAGACCAAGTGTTGTAGGTATAAAAAATAAAAGAATAAGGGATCGTAAGCTGACTAGGTCTTTGCAATCTGTGAGGTCAACCAAGGTTTGCCTCATATAAACGAATGAATGAGTGAGTGAGTGAGTGAGCGAGCGAATAACCCACCCACCCACCAACCAACTAACCAACCATTGGTGCCTTAGCACAAATCTAGACAGTGGCACCAAACTGTACCAGCAGCTGTGTAGTCTGTCTTTGTCTGTCTCTGTCTGTCCGTTCGTTCGTTTGTTCTTTCTTTCTTTTTCTTTCTTTCTTTTTCTTTCTTTCTTTCTTTCTTTCTTTCTTTTTCTTTCTTTCATTAGGACTGTGAGAATTTCTTGAGTTTGTCTTCTGGTTCACTTATGTGATTTTCTGTATTAACCAATCTGATATTCACTTCATTCCAATTTTAAATTTGGAAAGCATATTTTTATCTCAAGCAATTATTTTTTTCTGATGATGTATTTTGATTATTTCTGTTACTACTTGTTTTAATTTCTTTGATGAATATACTCTTAAATTTTTTTTCTTATTTTTTAATATAAATATTACAGATACACCCAGTAACTCTGACTCAGCCAACTAATTCCTTGCAGTCTCTTACACTGCAGAATCTTTTCAAACATATGACTTTTATTAGAGCATTTTTATTCCATTTGTGTGATCCACAAGGTGTATATTCCTTAAAGTTGCTTTTACTTGCAGGATAACAGCTAAAGGAAAATAACTGCACTAACTACGTTTTTCCATCTGGTACTTCATTCATTAGCATACTCTCAGTCTTCACTGGATTAGCTAACTTCTCACATATAGTAAATTTTAGTTCAGTGCAGTAAGTATAATAAAGATATAGTCTATGTATATATCCACTATACATTTTGCCATTTAATTCATTTATGTTTCCTGTAAACCTGTGGTATCTCTTATGCGCAGATCCCACGCTCAGACATGCTGGTGTGCAGTTTGGGTGTTTTTCGTTGAGTTTTAGATGTTCAGCTTGTTGTTTCAAGGGGAGGAATCTGGGGATCTCTCACTCTGCCGTGTTTCTTCAAACTCTTCTGATATGATCCCGTGTATTCTTTACTGCCCTCATTTACTATTTAAATAAAAAAAAGGGATGGGGAGCCAGTTTCACTTAAGAATGTCTTTGGTATAGTATAAAAAATATTAAGTCAGTTCTGAGTTTCACATTGTTTTAATATTTTTTGACAGAATGGGAAGCATACATAAAGCACACTGCATACCCAAGTACAGTGGTTATCTCAAGAAAACTACTTGTTTTAGTTGAGAGCTGAACTAGCTGCATTTTTTTTTTTTCATGAAACACCATTTTTACTAGAAAGGGCAAAAAGTATGATTATTCACTATTTAGCAGATATTTTCTTGAAAATGAATGGAGTCTGTCGCTTCAAGGAAAACAACTGACAGTATTTGTTACCATTGAGTTTTCAAATGAAAATTACAGTTTTGGAAAATTTATATCTGCCACTTTAAGCTTGACAGCTTCCCAAAACTTAAAAGACTAAATGATGAGATCAATGGGTATTAATGTATGTGATTTTAAAAATATTATACAGTGAAATCTGTTAACATTTGGAAGATCTGTATAACTCATTTTCCATTTACCAATGCAAGATATTGTAAAGTTATGCATAAGTAAAAGATACATTCAATATACAGGCTAGATTGGCAAATGGAAAGAAGTTTGATTCCAGTCATGATCGAAATGAACCATTGTACTATAATATGAAATGTACTATATGTACTAATGTACTATAATATGAAAAGTTCATTGATATGTTTTCAGGTTCTACATTGCAACTAACCTTTATGAAACTACCACTTGTCCAGTTTTGATGTAGTATCAGATGATTATATTTGTAATTATCTGAAATGGCTATTAAAGTATTCCTACCTTTTCCAACTATATGTGGGTTTGAATTTTTTTCCATATACTTAAACCAAAATTGCAACAGATAAATGCAAAAGTAGGTGTGAGAATACCTACTTGTCTTTTATTAAGTCAGATACATTTTACATCTGTCAAATTACAAAACAATGCCACTTTCTTCACTAATTTTATTTTTTGGAAAATAGTTATTTTTTATAAAAATAAATTATTAACATACTGAGGTTATTTTTATCTTTAAATGAATTGGTATATAACTTTTTAATTTTTATATGGCAACTATCAATAGATATATCAGCAAAAATTTGGAGTCCTCAAATTAAGATGTAAAGGGGACCTGAGAAAAAAAGGTTAAGAACCACTGTTTTCAAGTTTTAAATGTGATTTTTACTAATTTCTTTTCAAATGCTTTTAAATATCTTTAGTTAATTTAATATTCTTATTTTTTAATCTTCTAAGAATAATAATAGCTCATACATCACACTGTACTTTGTGGACCATATGGCTTATTGCAAATCCATAGCTAAATTACAATGTCTTTTTATTTTTTTACCACAGGTATGACAGACTTCTAGTTCATTCTCAGATTAAGTGCAGGAAAAAAGGGGCAATCCCCCTATCTACCACCATGGCTCAGTGTTTA